CATTTTGGGGCGACGTGAAGTGATAGCTCGGCTCAGACGAGCCAATGATCATTACACTGCCCTGCATAGTTTTTGAGGTTTGTGTATTATTAAGCTTTTCTGGGTGTATTTTGCATGCTGATCTCAAAAATGTTATCCATTTTGCTCAATCAGATCAGAATTTTGTGCTATAGTATTTTAAACGGAGATTCAGGTAAAATATTGTCATTTTTCGCTCAAAATGGGGTCCTCATATTCGTTCATTAAAAAAATCATCCGAGACATTGGCAAGCCTCACAGAAAAGATTTCCGTCAGTTTTAATGCCCTTACGATGCATTTAAATACACCCACGTGCTCGCCGGCCATTTAAATGTCCACCGTGACGCAAAGGAAAAGAGTATATATCCGTGTTTTTATACATATATTTTTTCACAATTAAATTTCTTTTTCATCTGGTGGTACATGGCATGTACTAGCAACCACCCCGATGTGCCTCTAAAGTCTAGACCCTCAGTCAGTGTCTCTCAAAACTTCAAGAAAGTGGGAGTGTGTGCGTCTCTCTCTCTCTCTCTCTCTCTCTCTCTCTCTCTCTCTCTCTCTATCTTGCACACATACACATGCGCATATTTCTAATCATATACACACCTGTTTTTTCTTCTTACAGAGTTGTACATTTAATCATGAATCGGAAGTGCAAGAACGACCCGAACAGGTTTTGCTATGTGTGCGGTTGTGTAACAATGACAGACCGACAGTGCACCATTACTCCCCTAGTGAAAAGCTTATATCATGCATACTTTGGAATGAAACTTGGAAATCAAGATAAAGCTGTTTTTTCCACAGGTTGTGTCCATGGTGCTGGGCCTACAAGGTGGTTACACCAAGTTTCCATGTTTCCTCTGTCTGTGGGATAGTCGAGCAGACAAGCAGCACTACATGCAATGTGACTGGCCTGCAAGAAGTGGACTTACTTCAGGTTCTCACAATGTTGTTGCCCATGCTCTGGTGAATCCGCAGAACATTCTTCTTCCGCCACTGCACATCAAGCTCGGTCTGTTCAAAAACTTTGTAAAGGCACTGGATAAAAAAAGCCAGGCTTTCAATTTTCTGAAAGAAAAATTTCCAAAAGTCAGTGAGGCAAAGCTGAATGCAGGAATTTTTGATGGCCCTCAGATCAGAGAGCTTTTCAAAGATCCCAAGTTTGATTGCAGCATGGATGTAAATGAGAAGAAAGCCTGGCATGCCTTTAAGTCTATTGTCTCCAATTTTCTTGGCAACTACAGAAGTCCAGAGTATGGACGAGTTGTTGAGGACCTACTTCTGAGCTACAAAGTTCTTGGTGCACGCATGTCCATCAAGATGCACTTCCTCAGCTCCCACTTGGAGAACGCTTCCATCAAGATATCCGTGTAATGGAGGAGCGGTACCAGGGTCGCTGGGATATCAACATGCTCGCCGACTACTGTTGGTGTCTGAAACGGGACGCCCCAGACACCAACCACCAAAGAAATTCTCTGCGACAGCCATTTATGCATGTCTAACTGTAAAGGCATCTATGTAGTTGACATATTTTGGTCCTATGTGTTGTGGTTACATTTCTTATGATATATTTTGCAAAAAAATTTTGACATCATATTTAAGAATTTCGATTTTTTCCTAACTCCCATAGCATAAAAATCTGACCTGATTGGGCAAAATGAATGGCATTTTTGGAATCAGCACGCAAAATACATAAAGAATCAGCTAAGAAACCCCGCACCTCATGAATTCTATTTTCAAATGCAGCCCAGTGTTATCGGAGTGGTCTGAGCCACACATGGCTCGGATGATGAGGACATCTCTGTGATCTCTTTCTCTGACAATGATGTAGTCAATGAGATGCCAGTGTTTGGTTAGTGGGTGTTGCCACGAACCCTTGAACTTGTCGGCCTACTTAAACAAAGTATTGGTGATAGTGAGGTTGTGTGCCAGCACACTTTCTGAGGAGGAGAAGGCCGTTGGGATTCTACTTGCCTAGTCCATTTCTCCCTATTTTTCCCTGCCAAATGTCAGCATCTCTGCAAACTCTAGCATTGAAGTCACCACTGAGCATAACCTATCTTCTCTGGGGACATAAATTAGCACTCTGTTGAGATCGGCATAAAAGGCCTCCTTGATCTCATCCTCTGCATCCAGTGTTGAGGTAAATGCACTGATGAAGAAGGCATGATGTGAGTGATTCAGTGGGACTTGGAGTGTCATGAGGTGCTCGTTGATCCCAACAGGCATTTCAGTTAGCCTATGCAGGATGCATTGGCGAATGGCAAAGCCAATTCCATAAATACGAATTTTCTCCGCATCGAGTTTAGTCTTCCAGGAGAAGGTATAGCCAGAACCCCGTTCTGTGAGTCGACCCTCGTTTGCAAGCCGGGACCCACTAATGGCTGCTATATCGATATTATACCTAGCCAGCTCTTTTGAAACAAGGATGGTTCCTCTTTTAGCATGGTCATTTGTGCCAGTATCCAGTAGGGTCCTGATATTCCATGCAGCGACCATAAGAGGATGTATAGTTTGTTTTTGTTTTGATATGTGATTATGATTGTGTTTTCGACCACATAAGGATGACCTTACTGGGTGTGGTTGCCCAGTCAAGTTGGTTTTTAGGCAGGCTCTGCTTAGGGCACCTTTTCTAGCCCCTTCCCCATGTGGGGTGAGCAGATTGGTTCCTCGAATGGGCTGCTCAGTCGCACAAACAGGACCGGATTGCACTGCTGCCTAGATAAACAACCATCTTATCTATTCCGCCCATGTGCAGAGTTGTGGCTAGAGACTTCTAACAGTCATCTCTGCTTTGTCTCAATCACCACTCGTCCGTCGCCATAGGACTTTTGGGCGTATAGGGGTTTTGATGATGATGAGAAGTATGATGAGCTGGATGATGGCTGTGTGTGCATTGATTTATGTGGTGAGGCAGGAGCACAGGCTGCAACCACACATCTTGGCTCTCTATTTTTGATCCAGTGGTGCAAGATTTGCAATGACTGCCGCTAGCCCAGTTTGTTGAGTTTCACCTTAGTAGTCTGTCCATCATGCATTGCCTTCGTCTGCCTGTGTAGTCGTTGGGTTCCAATGGTGGTCACCTTTTACGCCTATACCACCATTGGGGTCTTGTTGGAGCTCTGTAAGCATGTTTGCCTGATGTGGGGCTCCACAGCAGATTTTTCATTTGGGGTTTACTCTCGTAGCCTTATACCTATCAAGGTTAATCCGCAAGGCAGCGGGGCAGTGGTTGGTAGGCTCCAGGATGAGTCTACTTTCCATTGGGCCTATGCGCCGTCCCTCTGGGGCCCACTGCTGCTCCGAGATCTTTTGCTGGTTTAGCGAGGGCCCATAAGGCACCCAGTTACCATGTGTTGCCACAAGGAGGCACAGCTGGAATGTTGTTGGTGAAGAGGCTGTGTAATGGCAGGTGAGGACTTATGCAAGTTTCTTCCCTGTTCGCCACGAGGGCTAGCCAGCGGTTGCAGGTGAAAGCGAGAGGAAGCAAGTAGTTCTTGCATCTTAACACTAACATAATGCTGCCACACTAGACAAATTGCACCACCCTGTGCACACACACACACACACACACACACACACACACACACACACATGCCTTGATCACACTGGGGTGAGAACTTATTAGATTAGCAATTCGGTAGCTACCTGGATTAACCAGTTGACCATCCCTCAAATCCTTCCATCAGGATATACCAACAAACTCCCACCAGGAAAACAGCGAAAAAATTAGTGATCAAGCTACGACTGATACAAAAGAAATAAATTCAGTAAAAACAACAATAAAAACAGTGTTGAATAGAGCATAAGATCTAATAAATCTGTGGTTAGTGGAAACACTCTGCCTCCGGTCACGGCCAATGTTTTCCTTCCCAAGACACTACCAGTGAGGTCCTCCAGCCAAGGATCTCCAGCCACACCCTTGTTTACTGTGTCCCTTGGACTGTAGTGTTATTGTGCTACTAAAATCCACCTATCAAGAGTCACTCATTACAGTAGTCCTCTCAGCTCCTGATCATTATCATGTCTCCATATATAAATTTGGAACCGAGCCGATACCACCTGTCACCTCGGGTACTTGTCCGCGCATTGTTGTGTAATACTACAACAGATTCATGCCTGCATAACCTCATACAGCTAGTTGTAAGACTATCCCCTTTCCAACCACTGCAAATCATAACTTGTATAATTACTTCAATTATTTTTTTGTGCTGAAAGGTTTTGATAAGCAACACACTACCCAAGGTCACTTTATGTAACATATATCTGGCCATTGTATAATCTTAGTCTTTTACCGTTATATTTTCCAATAAACTGTTTATTATTATTACACACCAACTATCCCTCAACCGCTCATCACTACACCAACATTAGGTTCCTCTGTTGAGATAAGGAAGAGAAGGAAGAACTCTGTTGCTAAATATACCCTTTAACTTCGCTATTGATAATTGTTGCTCATCGTGAGGAACTCAATTAATGGAAAAATTTTATCCCTTTATAATGGAATAACTATCAGCAGTTTAGTGAGGAACTTTACCGATGAAAAAAGTTATTCACTCTAATAATTTAGTGTTTTCTGACGTCAGTAAAGACAACTTTATTACGGACTAGCCGAATTACCCGCGCCTTGCTGCGGTTCACACATTTTTTTTGTAAGAAAATGATGATTGATTTTAAATCATTGATATAATTTATGAAGAAAAATGATACATTTCAATATAACTCAATGTAAAATGTAATGCATGAAAAATTGGAAATCATTATTTTTTGTAATATATTAAATCAAAATTACATTATTAATTTTTATTCTTATTCTATTTCTTGTAAATCAATTTTTTTCAAAATATCAAATCAAAACTTGATCATTTTATATTTGTGTAAAGCATTATTTTCAAATTAGCAATTCAAAGATTAATTATTTATTTTTTAACATAATAAATACATGAAAATAAATTTTCATACTTTGTCCTAATGAAGAACTTCAGGGTAAACAACATTTCTTGTCTTTCTTTGATTGGCTAAAATGTAGAGGTTTTTTGAAGTTCCAGTCCTTGAAACAGCCACATAAAACATGCCATGACTGAAACATGGGTTTGTCAGATCTATACCAATAGTTTTTGAAAGTTTGACCTTGACTCTTATTGATGCTCATGGCAAAGCATGGCCTCACTGGGAACTGCAGCCTCCTAAATGCAAAAGGCAACTCGCTATCACTTGGTATAAGTGGAATCCTCGGAATGAGAATAGCTTGACCTTTGTAAGGGCCGAATATAATGGTTGCTTCAATCAAGTTCTCATGCAATCTTGTTACAACACATCTTGTTCCATTTATTGTTTGGGGTGGGTCCAATGATCTCAAAATCATGATCGGAGAACCAACTTTAACTTTCAGAAGATGGGGAGGCATTCCAGAAAACTCAATTGAATTCAAGAACTCTGTAGGATACTGTTCAGCTTCATCATCATTTGTTGTAGTGTCAATAGATTTGTACACTTTTTCCTGCCCTGAAAATTCATCCATTAGCCATTTATTCAACTTGTTGACATTGGCATTTAATGGAGAAACAATCGCTCGCTCAGCAAGCCAGTCTGGATGTTTTCCATTCAAGCTCAAGTCTGGATACACTCTTGCCTTCAAATCCTCTAGTTTCTCAACACATTTGCCAAGTTCTTCAGGAACTAAAATTGTATCAGGTACTTCTACATAAGGGAGGTGTCCATCTCCAATTGTAAGAAGAAGGTTTGAAAAGTTTGCTGAATCTGAATCACCAGTCATATGAGCCCTCATATTTGTTGTCAGCTTCTTCACAAATACGTGTCTCCAAAGGTAGGATTCCTTTAAACTTGCATCAACAATGTTTGCTCTTGTTCCATTTTTCACAACAGGCAAAATTTGACGGAAGTCCCCTGATAATAGAGTTTGAATACCACCCATTGTCTTCTTGACACCTGTGATGTCTTGTAAAGTTCCATCAATAGCTTCAAAAACAGTCTTATGAGCCATGGGGGCTTCATCAACAATTATTGCTTTTGTTTCCCGTATTACTTTGGCCATGTTAGAGTTTCGAGTAACTGAACATGTAGGCTCATCCATTCTGTATGTGTCCAGTGGTATGCAAAGTACGTCCTCCTTCCAACAATGTTGCTGCAATACCACTTGATGCAGTTGCCAGCACAATTTTTCCTTCTGACCTAATTTTTGCTAGAATTAAGTTTTGCAAATAAGTCTTACCTGTTCCTCCAGGTGCATCAAGAAACATAATGTTTTTATGATCTTCTCTTTCACCATTCACCATCTCCAAAAATGCTGTATAAGCACTCCTTTGATCCTCTGTCAATTTTTGATATTGTTCATCAACCTGAACTGCCAACTCCTCCTGATTGTAGTTGGTCTCACGTCTGTATTCACGACAAAGCTGCTCATTATCAACATGGGGTGCTCTTGGTAAGCCATATGTTGTCAAAACATGTCCTCCCATCATGAGAACTTTGTATTCCAAATGACACAAAACTTGATTGAAAACTAAATCTGAGACTGGAGCATCTGGATCATTCATAGACCTGCGATGTTGCATTAAATAATCTTCTGACAATGTTTCTTTGAATATCTCCCAAAGCTCTGCTGGATTACTTGGCGAACATGCTGTCAAAATTATGGCAAAGAGGCATCTCATGTTTGCAGGTGACTGAGAAATTCTTGCTTCTTGCATGGCAAGTCGTAAATGGTCATCATTCTCCAAAAGCCCCCTGGCAAGGCAAGCTTCTCTGAATGTTGTGCATAGAATGCCATCAACTATTTTTAGATCTTGGAATGAAGTTGGTCCTCTCACTTCGTTCAGGAGAAGTCTCAAAAAATAACACTCTCCAACTCTTGGGCTGATTGTGTACATCCTGCCAATGGCCGGAGCCTTCCAAACCGGGCCATCCTCATTAACTCCATCAATCAAAGTACCTCTCTTGCGACGATTCCATTTCTTTGTACTTTTAATCCAAATGTAATATTGTGGGAGTTCAGCATACTTCAATGTCTTTGCAAAGTCATCATCTTGGCAGAGCTGGAAAAAACGTGTCAAAGTTGTAGGAGGTGGAGGGCCAACAGCTCTCTCTAATGCATTTTCTTCACGAAAGAGCACTCTTTGTCCATTCTCAAGATGAATTGCCAAACCAACAACTGGTGGGAAATGCACATGTGTAGGATGCTCAAGAATCCGCCATGCTGCTTCTGATGATGACACATATCTCATGTTTTGGTATTGGCTGATTTCATCAATCACCTGTGGTTCTTGACTATTGACTTGTGCAGCATTTTGTAACTCAAAAACAGCTTGATCTGACCCCTTTGATATGTATTTGATGCAATACTTGATTGAATGAATTGATGAGCAGATTTCAACATTGATATGACAGTTGAATTGTCGCAACAAATATGTATTGTAAGGCACTACCCATTGATTGGTGATTTCTTGCTCAACTTGACGTCCATATTGTCTCATTTTGATCTTGCCAATGTGACCTCCATCTTCTGGCTTTCTCCTTCTATATTTTGGATAGGAGTCATTCCCTTGTTCAGTAGCTTGTAGGAAATCTTTGGGAAATTGTTTGGAACATTTTCTGTCGACCATACATGGGGATCCTTCATTTAGGGGACCACATGGGCCATGGATCATGTGTTTCATGACCAGATCATGTAGTTCTTTATCTTGCTCTTTTTTAGGGATTTCTGCAGAAATTGCCAAATCATATTCTTCGGCTTTGATTTTGTGCTCTGGAGCTATCCAGAAAAGAAAGTGCGCATGGGGTAAACCTCTCTTCTGGTAAGCAATGGTGTACAGCCATGCTTGCAAAGTACCAAATTTTCCCTTCTTCATATGTTCCATAAACTTTTTCACTTTTAATCTGAAGACTCTCGCAACAATATCTGGTCGATCATGACTCTCTTGTCCGGGAGCCAAATTGTCAACAATTTCGGGCCAACGTGGATTACATGTCATAGTGATAAAGTAATCTGCTCTTCCTTAGTGTCTCACAAAGGCCATCGCATCTGATCTTTTTTCATGAAGGTATCGAGGACCACCAGTATAGGTCGCTGGAAGCACAATGCGACGACCAACTTGATTTGGATCTCCATCAGCAGCAAGCAGACTATCACGTAAATCTGAGTAATTTTCAGCACGGAGACTTTGCTGTTCTCTTCTCAAAAACTTCAATCTTTCAGTTTCTATTTTGCAGTATGCATCCACCAAGAATTGCCGGAAGAGTCGCCTTCCAAGCAAGAGGTAGTTCCCTTCTCTGCACATAATATGGAAAGAGTAAAACTGCAACTGTGTGACTTTCCGACCATTTCTCCCTTGCAAATATATGTGGTAGCCGTCTGTTCCATATGGAAAAAACAATGGATACATCAAAGGATCATAGGATCGATGTAGCTCTGAAATTCTCCTCAATCCACCTTGTTTCAACTGAAGAACAATATCTCTATTTTCTGTAGGCTCATTTGACATTAAAATTGCAACTTCAGCCCCTGTTGGTGCATTAAAACGCCGAGCATGTTCTCCCTGGGCACGCTTATTTTCCCAAATTACAATTTTCTTGTCATTTATGTTTACTTGCCGTACTTGCTCTAGCGCAGTCTTTAGCTCCCCCACATAATGATTATTTTCATTTAACCAGGCTGTAATTCTCTCCAATATATCAGCATTCAAGTTTTGATGCTCTCCTCTTGCTCTCAGTTGATCTTCCAAAGTGTCCAAAAAGTAAACTTGAATGTATCTTGCTCTTCTATCTTCAGGAGGCATCAGTGACCCAAGTTGATGGTAAATTTGACCTTGGATTCTTACAGATGGATTCCAACCTTGGACAGATGCATCTTTGTGACCAAAGCTGGTCATGGCAAACAGAGAGTTGTACTCCCTGAGTCTTGACAAAAAGTGTTTGTTGAATTGACTTTCCCCAGTGAACAGTTCTTCAAATAACTGAGGCAGAGGTGGAAATTGATCCAGTGTAACCTTTCCATTTCCACAGCACATTCCTAGTGATTCTCCAGTAAATTTCTTAGCGCCACACTGACAAAGTTTGGTCATTTCTCCAATTGCAGCCTTGTTACATGGGTCATTTTTGTCATACAGTAATGCAGAACGTTTAGCATTTTGAATCTCACGTTGTCTTAAATTTTGATACCTGTTTCTATCAGCAATCAAACGCTGTTGTCTCTCTTCTTCAGACTCATTTCTTCTTGCAACTATGTGGCGAAATCTATCTTGCTCCTGTCTTTCTTGATGCTCAACCAAGGTTTCATTTTTGCTTATATTCTGTTTGCTCTGTCTTGGCTTCAGAAAGTCGTTCTTCCCTTTGCATCACAGCTTTCAGATTGACGACGAAGCCTCATCCTTGTGCATGTGGAGTATTTGCATAACTGGGACTTTTCTTTTCCGTGGTATAATTTTGATGTCTGAAAAAAAAAAATGAAAAATGTTAAAATGTAGAGCAGCATTAACTAATTTTTTTCTTGCCATAATTCTAGGTAGTGATGTTTGTCATAGATAAAATGTCTAAATTTGCCAAATTCTTTCTATAAAAGAGAGGTAATTTTGGTTGTTGTTTACGTTTAATTAATAGAAAAACCCGTGATAATAGGAGAGGCTCCAATACCAAGTTATGTGGGCTTCCAAAAATTTTTCAATATAGGGGGTTTAGCCCCCATTAGGGTGTCTTAATATTATTGAAATTTGCTGATATTTTGTGAATAGGCATCATTTCTGGTCATTTACCTATGGTTTAAATTTCATTTAAATCGAAGGAAAATTTTTCAGTGGGGGTTTGTACTCCCCTGGGACCCCCTTTTTGATCAAAAAATGAAATATTTCCATTCAAGTACTCCTGGGTAATGTAGTTTCAGAATATATAAGGTTATGGGGGTCTATCTCTGAAACCCTAGGAGGAGTTTCAGAACAGAGCTGCTTTATATATATATAGATGTACCTAAGCAAACTCCTCCCTAAATGCTAATTAATTCCTGCCAGTTTTATTTTCCTCCTCTCCTTTCTTCTCCTCTCCTCTCCTCTCTATCCATCATCATTATCGTCTAGTTCCATCAAAGTTAACCTTTCCCTAGTCCCTCTTAACACAATCCTCCCACCTCAATCTAGGTCTTCCTCTACTCAAGTCTCCCCTCCGCCGATTCATCTGCTCTCCTCATCAGCCCCCTCTCCTCCTCCTGCTACATACGCCCCACCTAAGCCTACAGTTCACCAACCTTCTTGTCAAAATCTTCTCCCACTCCAGTGGAGTGGAGAATGACTCCAGGCAGGAACAAAGGTGTCGGCAGCTTCCATTACTGAACTTCAGTAGGCAGACGACCTCACCCTTGTCGTTCATATTGAATGCGACCTGCAGGAGATCCTGAAACACCTTTGCATATGCGTATGCATACTTCAGCCTTAAAGGGTGAATGTACCCAAGACTCATATTCTCTTTCACCCTGCCCTGGCTCAGACACACCTCCACCATCCATCCAGCTTAACGGTATTACCCTCTCTAATGTTACCCACTTTTGGCATCTCGGCTCCCACCTGTCCACCACCGCAGACATTGATAAAGAGATTCAGCATTGGATCAGATGCATCTCCCAAGCCTTTGGCAGACTCCGAACTGCATGTCTTCAGCTGTAGGGAGCTGAAATTATCTAAAAGTTACACTTTATATCGAGCAGTGGTCCTCCCAACCCTACTATATGGCAGCGAGACATGGGCCATACAGGAGGCACCTCAAGGCACTTGAAAGCTTTCTACCAATGTAGTCTACATTCCATCCTCCTGAGTCTGCTGGGCATACAAGAGAACAAATGCCAGTATTCTTGCTTACGCTAACTGTGGATGCATCGAGACTACCATTATCCATGAACAACTATACTGGACTGGTCATGTTACCGGCACGGACGACAGTAGATTCCACCAAAGAAGCATTTACAGTCACTCAGCAAATAGTAAACGTAACGCCGGTGGCAACTTAAAGGTTTAAGGATAGTCTTAAGACAAAACCTGAAAATGTGCTGCCAAA